ACAGACACAGACACAGACACAGACACAGACAGACACAGACACACACATACACACACACACACACACACACAGGTCATGCGGGATGGTAAGACAACAGAATGAAGCTGGAGGAGAGGGACTGGACGAGTCATACATGGAGATGATTGCTAAGGCATGGAAGGAAGTCAGTGGGGAATTGAAGGACCTGAGGGAAACTATATGTAAACTGCAGATAGAACTAAGTGCAGCATAAGCGGAGATAAAAAGCCTAAAAACAGGCCCTCAACAGACTGGCCCAGGGGACCAACCCCCAGGTACCAGGAGATGTAGCAATGGCAGGGACCCCTACAACTGACCCAACCTTTGCTGAAATGATGAATACCCCAGGAGCAATGTCCACAGTCAAGGAAGTTGTAATGAAAGCAGTAACCTCACAGGAGGCAGCTAGATGCACAAGCCAGCTAATGGAAAGGAAAAGAGCTGTAGTAGTGATAGGTGTGAAGGAACAAGAGGGCTCCACAAAAGAGGAATCGAGGACTATAGACAAAACTGCAATGGCAGGGATATTAAAGGAGATAGGAAAGGAAAGGGCTGAACGAGACATAGAACAGTTTTTCCGGATTGGCCAGTACAACAGAGACAAAAAGAGATTGATCAAGGTAGTATTCAAGAGCGAGGACATCAAAGAGGACATCCTAGTAAAGAAGAGCAAACTGAGGTATGCAAGGAACTACAAAGAGGTATATGTTCAGAGGGACATGACCAGAGACGAGATAGTAAGGGCAGCAGATGCAAGGAGAGGGAAGAGAGCCAGGGAACCTAGCCTCCAACCCAGCAATCCCAGAGGGGAGTGGGGAACCCCAGTCCAGCAACCCAGGAACCCCAGGGGGAAATGCTACACCCCAGCCCACCACCCAATAGGGCCCCCTCCCCCTATCCCCCAGCACAAACCCTTCCCTGCCCCTGCACAATGCCCATCATGAAACCCAAATCCTCTCCCTCCCTTTACCCCAAGTATCCCCTGCTTTCCCAGTCCCTGGTCTTCTTCCTGCCCCAAGCAGGCCTGAGGAAGACCTAAGCCCTCCATCCCCCACTCCACCTCTCCCTGAACCCCTGGCAACTACCTCACAGGAGGATGAGCCTACCCAAGTAGCAATGACCATGGAAAAACTTCCTACACTTGTGGGGAGTGAGGGTGAAATTTGATATAAGAAAGTGAGCTTCATGGTAATGTACTTAAACATTGATGGGATTACCAATAAAGCAAGTGAACTGGCAGAAAGGGCGCAAGAAGAAAACCCTGATGTAATAGGACTAACAGAAATAAAATTGTCAGGAGTCATAACAGATGCTGTGTTTCCAAAGGACTACTATATAGTAAGGAAAGAGAGGGAAGGGAGAGGAGGTGGAGGAGTGGCCCTGCTGATAAGGAAGGACTGGAGTTTTGATGAGATGGAAATTCCGGGCTGTGACGGATTCAGAGATTACATAACAGGAACTATAACAATGGGTAGACCTAAGATAATAGTGGCAGTCATTTACAACCCTCCCCTAAATGACAGAAGACTTAGACAGGAGTTTGATAGAAACATATGGGGACCATTAATATAATAGAGCAGCTTCAGTTGCCTACAGGAATGGCTCAAGACTCTTAATCATGAGCGATTTCAACCATGGAAAGATAGACTGGGAGAATGGGGACCCACATGGAGGTGCAGATACGTGGAGAGCTAAACTCTTGGAAGTGGCAACAAGGAATTTTCTGAGCCAGTATGTCAAGGAACCCACAAGAGTGAGAGGCAATGATGAACCAGCTAGACTCAACTTGATATACACCCTGAATGAGTCAGAAATAAGGGAAGTCAAAGTTGAAGCCCGCATAGGAATGAGTGATCACAGTGTACTGACCTTTGAGTACTTGGTGGAGGTAGGGTTAACCTATCTAAGGATGGGATCGGAGGGAAAAAGACTGAATTACCGAAGAGGAAAATATGACGAGACGAGAAACTTCCTCAGGGGAATACCATGGGAAACAGAACTTAGAGACAAGAATGTGCAGGTCATGATGGATTTTGTCACCCAGAAGTGCCAGGAAACTGCAAACAGGTTTATCCCCGTCCAAAACGAGAAAACGAAAAACAACAGAAAAACCCATGGTTCAACCAGGAATGCAAGGTAGCGAAACAACTGAGTAAAAGAACATGAAGAAACTACAGAAATAACAGAACACCTGAGAGCAGGGAGAGATACCAGAGGGCCAGAAATGAGTACCTCAGAGTGAGGAGGGAAGCAGAGATACAGTTTGAAAATGACACCGCAAATAAAGCCAAGACCCAACCAAAGCTGCTCCACAGCCACATCAGGAGGAAAACAGCAGTGAAGGAACAAGTGATGAAGCTGCGAAAAGGGGAGAACAGATACACAGAGAATGACAAGGAAGTGTGTGAAGAACTCAACAAGAGATTCCAGGTCTTCACAAGAACAAGGAGAAGCCTCTGTACTAAGTGAGGAGGTGGCAAACCAAGCAACCTTGGAGGAATTTGACCTCACCAGTGATGAGGTCAAAAGGTGTCTGCTGGAGCTGGATGTGGCAAAGGCTGTTGGGCCTGACAGAATCTCACCATGGATACTAAAGGAAGGTGCAGAAGCACTAAGTGTGCCACTCTCTATGGTGTATAACAGGCCACTGAAAACAGGAGACTTAACAGAAAGTTGGAAGACAGCTAACGTGGTCCCAATATACAAGAAGGGTGACAGGCAAGAGGCACTGAACTATAGGCCAGTTTCCTTAACTTGTATACCATGCAAGGTGATGTAGAAGATTGTGAGGAAAAGGCTTGTAGAGCATCTTGAGGGAAATAACTTTGTAACGCACCATGAACATAGGTTCAGGGATGGTAAATCGTGCCTAACAGGTTTAATAGAATTTTATGACCAGGCAACAAAAATTAGGCAGGAAAGAGATGGGTGGGACGACTGCATTTTCCTGGACTGTCAAAAAGCCTTTGACACAGTACCCCATAAAAGGCTGTTAAAAAAGTTGGAGCAACAGGCAGGAGTAAAAGGGAAGGTGCTCCAGTGGATAAGGGAGTACTTAAGCAACAGGAAAACGCGAGTAACGGTGAGGGGGGGATATCAGAGTGGCGAGATGTCACCAGCGGAGTCCCACAGGGCTCAGTACTTGGATCCATCCTGTTTCTAATATATGTAAACGATCTTCCTGAGGATATAGACTCATTCCTCTCAATGTTTGCTGATAATGCAAAAATTATGAGAAGAATCAAGACGGATGAAGATAGACAGAGACTACAGGATAAACTGGAGGAATGGTCTAGAAAATGGCTGCTAAAGTTCAACTCAGTTAAGTGTAAGGTGATGAAATTAGGCGAAGGGAGCAGGAGGCTGAACACAAGGTATCATCTGGGAGGTGAAATCCTGCAAGAGTCAAATAGAGAGAAAGATTTGGGGGTTGATATCACACTGAACCTGTCCCCAGAGGCCCACATCAAAAGAATATCATCAGCGGCATATGCTAGACTGGCCAACATAAGAACTGCCTTTAGAAACTTGTGTAAGGAATCTTTCAGAACCCTGTATACCACTTATGTAAGACCAATCCTGGAGTATGCAGCTCCAGCCTGGAGTCCATACCAAGTTAAACCCAAGACAAAGCTAGAGAAGATTCAGCGGTATGCCACCAGGCTCGTCCCGGAACTGAAAGGAATGAGCTACGAGGAAAGGCTAAAGGAGCTGAACCTCACATCCCTGGAAAACAGAAGAGTAAGGGGACACATGATAACCACATACAAAATTCTCAGGGGAATTGACAGGGTGGACAAAGACAAACTCTTCAGCAGGGTGGAACACGAATAAGGGGACAAAGGTGGAAACGTAGTACCCAGATAAGCTACAGAGACGTTTGAAAGAATTTTTTCAGTGTCAGAGTAGTTAATAAATGGAATGCTTTAGACAATGATGTGGTGGAGGCTGACTCCATACATAGTTTCAAATGTAGATATGATAGAGCCCAGTAGGTTCAGGAATCTGTACACCAGATGATTGACAGTTGAGAGGCGGGACCAAAGAGCCAAAGCTCAACCCCCTCAAGCACAATTAGGTAAGTACACACAATACTAAATATGTTACGAATTCCATGTCAATGTTTCCAATTGCTTTGAAAATTTAATTTCATATATTTCGATTTATTTTAATTTATTTTGAATTATTTTGCGTGACATTGTGTTGGAATTGAGCTGTGTTGTTTACCATACCATTTATTTCATTAGTATAATTATAAATGCCACACCTGTGACATGTAAAAATATTATCTTTTTTATTAAGAAAAAGCGCCATCTGTTGCACCTAAGAGCCACACACTCACTATCATAAATATGTTATGATGTCATTGCAATGTCTTCGATTGCATTGACAAATTAAATTTTCTTATATTACGATTTATTTTGATTTTGATTTAATTATTTTGCATGACAATGTTTACCATACCATTCATTTCGTGAGTATATATATATAGATGCCACACCTGTTACAGGTAAAAACATGATATTTAAAAAAACAGTGCAATCTGCTGCACATAAGAGCAACTCATGCTGTACTAAATATGTTTTGATTCCATTTCAATGTTTCCGATTTCATTGATAAATTGAATTTTCATTGATTCAAATTATTTTCATTTTGATTTAATTATTTTGCGTCACATTGTGTTGGAATTGAGCTTTGTGGTTTACCATTGTCACGTGCCTCTCACCTTGGCCTTGTGTTACATGAGGTTACAGTTAAACAGCGGGGGATCGTGCTACTGATCCTATAACCTCACGCCGTGGGTCTTCGCTCCCTCCACTAGGGTATCACATATCACCACCAGGGATATGTGATACCCTCCTAGTCATGCCTCAAGACCGGCCACCATTTGACCTTGGACCCAAGGGGAAGAGGAAAAGGTCTAGGCCTCACTGCTAAGCTCAATCCTGCAGTATGTGACTCCCCCACCGGGAGTCACATACTGCAGGATTGTTATTCGCTAGCAGATACTCCACCTCCTGTCGCATGATCTTCCTCTTCTCTGGACTCAACCGATAAGCGTTCTGCTTAATTGGTTTGCTTCCGCCCACATCTACGTCGTGCACCACACTCTTGGGCCGTTGGGGCACATCCGTGAAGAGTGACTGGTTCTTCCTTACTAGGGCCACTAGTTCTCTTCTCTTGCCTTTATCCAGATGTCGTAGCTTCTCTTCTAGGTGTGTCAAACTTTCTGTATATGACAGGCGTGTACCATCGGCACGGGCCCACTTCTCTTCCTCTGCTGACAACACTTGGATCATCTCCATTCACAGGACCAATTTCTCCTCTTGAGAAATTGCTGGCTGTTCCATTCACTTCACACTCTCCTGCTCTTCTGGGAAGTATGACTTCAAACGGTTGACATGACATACTTGAGTCTTGCGGGGACGATTCGGCTTGCTGATCTCATAATTCACAGGACCCACTCGCCTGACAACCGAGTATGGACCACCAAAGCGAGATTCCGTCACTCTACCTACCTCTCCCAGGTAGCAACATCATCACTCTGGCTCCAGTCTCAAATTTCCTTGGGACAGCTTTCTTGTCGTACCAGATCGACATCTATTCTTGAGCTGTCTTCAGGTGCTCAGCAGCCAGCTCCCTCGCCGTCATCAATCATTCGCGGAATTTCTGCACATACTCCTCCACCGTCGCTAACGTCTTAATCGCAGTCAACTGCTCCTTCAGCATCACTAATGGGTTCCTCACTTCGTGCCCAAACACTAGTTGGAATCGAGAGAATCCCAGAGACTCAACTATAGCATCTCTGATTGCAAACAGGGCTGGATAGACAGCCTCATCCCATTCTGCTCCCTGTTCCGCACAATACACTCTCAAGACGGTTTTCAGGGTGGAGTGAAACCGCTTGATCGCTCCCTGCGACTGAGGTCTATAAAGTGATGACCATAGTTGGGCTATTCCCCATCTTGCAACAGCCTGCCTAAACCATTTCGACTGGAAAATACTTCCGCAGTCGGACTGGATTTCCTTAGGTACGCATACCCAAGCAAAGAACCGCTGAAGGTGTCCCATGACGCATCTTGATGTCGCCTTCCGCACTGGGATCGCCTCCAGAAATCTAGTCGAACCACACATGATGGTCAATAAGTAATTATTTCCTCTTTTCGTCCTAGGTAATGGTCCAACGACGTCGATTATTAGGCGTTCAAACGCCGGGCCAAACGCAGGAACTGGAACCAAAGGGGCTTTCTGGATGGCAGGGGCATTCTTCCCCGCCCTGTGGCACGGGAAACATGTCTTGCAGACGCTCATCAGCGTCCATTCACGGCCAATAAAAATTATCCCGAAGCCGATTTAAGGTCTTGGTCACTCCCAAGTGTCCCGCGGGATCAACTGAGTGAGCAAGCTTTAGCACCGCGCCTCTGTACTGCGCTGGCACCACCACCTGACGCCACACTCATATCATATCAGCATATCACCACCCGCTTCTTCTCTCACTGGTCTCCACTGCCTCATTAGCACCCCCTTTTCCTTGAAGAAGTGAGTCGGCAACTTGGGTCCGGCAAGACCTCCTTCCGCCTCCCATACCAACTCCAGAAACTCCGCCTTTTGCAGCTCACCAAGACGGGCGCTGTCAATACCTAGTGAACTGGAGAGAGTAACTTGGATACTCCTATCCGACTTTTCCTCACCTAGTACTTGTCCTCTGGCCTCCTCTCGGAACAAATGATCGAGCCCCAGGTCACCCGGTATGTTCTCCTCGGCATGACCGGATCCACTCACATCATCTTCCCTGACGTCCTGTCTCGATGTCACCGCGCATACCGGAAATGCCACTCTCACAATTTCTGTCGCGTCGCCGCTTACGTCCGTCATGCTGCTATGTCTATAGGGCTCTATACACTCTGTGTCCTTAATCAATTTCGGGAGAACACATCCTCCACAGGAGTCGTTCCTAGGTTCACCTGAGCTTCCATCCTGGGCAGTGAAGCACAGACTCCTACCACGAGAGTCTGACAGCCATAGTCAGAATTAAGAGTTACTTTATGAAGGGGCATCCTCACCTGACCCCCCAACGTTCTTATCAGGGCTACCCCTGTACTGGAACTTCTGTAGTCCTCGGGGAAGAAAGATTCACTAACAAGGGTGAAGTCGGATCCAGTGTCCCTCAGCATCCTCGCTGGCACAGGATCAGCGCCTCTTATCTTCACCGTTCCCTCACACACAAAGAGATGAATCCTCTTCTCCCTCATCACCGGCATATCACCTGAGTTATCGTTGGCTACTTCGCTTCCTTTTCTCGCGAAAGCCACATTCCCGCCGTGCCTGGGGCGACCGCACTCCCTTGCAAAGTGTCCTCGTACCACACAGTTAAAACACCGACTGCCTCTCCCAGGCGATCCTCTACCAGTCAAACTGGTAGCACCAACAGTAGACGTTCCCTGGGTTCTTCTTGGACTTCCCGTCGTTGGTTCCCGGGCAGCAGCACTTGCTCCCGAGCTTGGTCCACTGCTCACAACTTGGGGCTTCCTCCCCGCGTCCCTTGAGCTCTTGAACCGGGTCCCTTCACTGGGTACACTACTCTTGGGAGTGTCCCCGCCCGCCCTCGCTCCTCCTAAACTCCTAAGGTTCCCTCCCGACCTGGGGTAAGGCGAGTGTCTGGGCGACCTCTCCCTCCTGAGATGTAGCCCCTCCTCCAACATGTCGGCTCAGTCTGCAGCAGCCTTAATGTCCTTAATACCTGCTTCTAATAATACAGTTAAACAGAGGGGGATCGTGCTACTGATCCTATAACCTCATGCCGTGGGTCTTCGCTCCCTCCACTAGGGTATCACATATCACCACCAGGGATATGTGATACCCTCCTAGTCATGCCTCAAGACCGGCCACCATTTGACCTTGGACCCAAGGGGGAGAGGACAAGGTCTGGGCCACACTGCTAAGCTCAATCCTGCAGTATGTGACTCCCCCACCGTGCCTGCCCACCTATGAGTGCAAAGAATATGCCGGACTTCTGGCCGTAGCCTCACTTCCACTTCTTACCTTCTGGTCGCCAGCTGGGTAATTCTCTCAGCGTCCCAGCAACGCCGCTGGTTCGAATATAATATATTTACAGCAGCCTGGGATCGTACTATGTGCTGCTAGTACTAGAATTCAAATGTACAGTCGTGTTGCCAACTCAGGGTCACTCTTTAGGGAATGCCAGTACTCCATAGGCATCGTGAAGATCCTCGTCATCTCCGTGCTCATTCCCTGAGTGAAGTTCCTGGGCGTTGGCTCGTCCAGTCGTCACTGCACACATTGTCCCCTCAAGCTCTCCTTCATCGAGACCACACTCAAGGATCAGGATGCACCTTCTCCCTTCTGAGCTCCTAGTGGGCGTGATCCAATCACAACAGCTCTGAATGCTTTGGAGTTCCACTGACGGCGAGTCACTCACTCCTCCAGCCGTCGTATCTCTCTCGACTTCTCCAAGACAATTAGCACACGGTCCTCGGCGCCCTTACACTGCAGGAATAGGCTTCCTCGTACTTCCCTGATGTACTGCAGTCCTTGTTAGTCACTATATACTCGTCAGGCTGTGTATATCCACTTACGGAGGCTCCTAGACCTCGGAACTCGAGAGTTCAATCGGCGGACGACCGCTCTCAACGAAGCGCCAAGTATCTCTGAGCGCCTGGCGCTCTGCAGGCGGCAGGTCAGGTCTCTCGGTGACGTCACAGACCCAGGGGTGAGCTCTGATTGGTCAATGAAGCCACGTGACCTCAGCCAACCAATGACCGACCGGTGGGCGTCGTACACAAAATGGTGGATTTGCAGGCCAGAGAGCGCCATTTTGTTGTACCCAGGGCACGACTTTTCCACTTCCCTGCAAATTTACAAATACCAAATTTCTCCCCAAATAAGCAACCATTCTGGAAGCCTCATACGTCAAAAGATTCCCTGCACCTCAGAGAACCTGCAGGTAAGCTGATATGACTCTTACAGCTGGCATACGGGAGAAACTGGAGAGGGCACCATCACATACCTCCCCCTCTTAACATAAGAGTCATATCATTTAGTAAATCCGGGAGAGGGCATCCGCTACCACATTCTCCCTTCCTTTGATATGCTGGATTTCCAACCAATACTCCTGTAACAGTAGGGCCCATCTTGTCAGCCTTTGATTCGAGTTCTTCGTCCTGTGCACGAACGTCAATGGGTTTTGATCGGTAAACACTCGCACCAGTCTAGTACCTCCACCCACATAAACGTCAAAGTGCTTAAGTGCCAGGATCAGGGCTAAGGCTTCCTTCTCCACTGTACTATAAGCCCTCTGATACTTTTATGTTGACCAGAATTTCTTCGAGTAGAATGCTACCGGACGGTGAACTTCGTCCCTTCTCTTGAGCTAACGTGGCTCCAATCCCTGCATCGCTCGCGTCGATGTACAGGATAAAGTCAGACTCGAAGTCAGGTGAAATCAGCACCGGTGCTTCGGTTAACAACTTCTTTGTCTTCTCGAAGGCTTCCTGACAGGCTTCACCCCACTTCCATCTAAAGTTCTTAGACAGCAAGTCCGTCAGAGGGTGCACCACTGTTGAGAAGTTCTTGCAAAATCCTCTATAATATCCAACCATCCCCAGATATCGTAACAACTCCTTCTTTGTCCTGGGAATCGGATATTCTTCGATGGCTATCACTTTGTGTTCCACTGGAGTCACTTCTCCTTGGCCCACGACGAAACCTAAATATTCTAGTCGGGCCTTCCCGAACTCGCTCTTGGCCAGATTAACTGTCAGATTAGCTTCTTCTAACCGCCGGAATAACTCCCTCAAACGATCCATGTGTTGTCTCCAGCTATCCGCATACACCACTATATCATCGATGTATACGGCGCAGCCTTCCATCCCTCTCAGTACCTCGTTCATCATCCGCTGGAAACAGCTTCCACTGTTTTTCATGCCGAACGGAAGTACTTTGTACTGGTATAATCCGTCTGGAGTAGCAAACGCAGAGATCCTTCTTGCCCTCGGAGACAAAGGTATCTGATAATATCCTTTTAGCAGGTCGACCTTGGTGACAAACCTTGCGTTACCCACTTGGTCAACGCAGTCACTTATCCGGGGCATAGGGTGTGAATCCGACACGGTTATGGAGTTCACTTTGCGGTAGTCGGTGCAAAAGCGATACGAGCCATCACCCTTCTTAACTAGCACACAGGGTGAGCTCCACTCACTGTTGCAGGGCTCCGCGAGGTCATTCGCTAGCAGATACTCCACCTCCTGTCGCATGATCTTCCTCTTCTCTGGACTCACCC